GGAGTGATGGCTGTGGGATTCGCAGTAAACTCTTTAAACCAACAGGATTTTTTACCACTAATGTTAATATTCTCGATTTCTGATCGATTGATGGCCGTCGTAATAAAGTGAACATACCAACAATTTACGGCAACAAATTATAAATTGCTCGCGACCTTGTCCTCAGGGTCCTCACTCCTTATTGTGAGGGGACCCTGGGCACAAAGTTGAGATCGTTCGCGCACTTTTCACGTGTTTTTTTTTTTTAAGTAAAAAACACATTTCTGATGGTTTAGCGTTGTATGTCCCCTTTTTTACCACGATATGATTCGGCAACGCCTTATTGTGACTACATAACTAATTTTGGCCAAATGTTGAGGTCATAAAGTAAAATATCTATCATTTATCAATCTAGGGGCTAATCGGTGAATTCGTTGGAGCAACAAATACTCGCTTTCTTGGTCAAACAAACACAGCACAAACGTTTTCCTCACCTGTCCAAAACCATGTCAAACAATGCTCCAAACTTAGAACCTACAAAGTGAAAAAGTTGGATGGTATGTTTGGATTTGCAGCCCCGCTATCTTTAGACAATGTCTAATGTTGATGKTATTACCATCCGGGGGGAAGGGGGGAAGCGTGGGGATTTGTAATTATATATTGCCAGGTCATGACATGCCTGGCCGTGCTATCCCACACACCCACCCCCACGGGCTTGTTCGATTACATTGAACCCAATCTTCGATTGACAAAATCAATTCAACACAATAATATTCACAACAAAATAGTGTCAATTGAACATACTCKTCCGTATTTCCTTTATTAAGACCCCAGCCGTATTAGAATAAGACAGTTTGAGACACCAAAAAGAAATACGCCCCCACCCCCCCTAAGGAACGTTGTGAGTCCGCCTTCTAGTAAGCCCCAGACCTCCAATAAGCTCCCAGTCCAAAAACCACTGAAAAAGAATAAGCCCCAACGGTCCTTGATTGAGGAGGTACACCGATGGAACGTTCGAAACGAAGCTCCGATTGTCATTGATTGCAGATCAGTTTGATTATTTAAACTATTTTATCCGTAGTTTTGATTGGCCGAGATAATGACAAATAACTGCCTGCTCATGCGCATGACGGTGGCCATCCCAAAGCAAAGCCGTTTTTCTGTAAGCAACAGTTTGATTATGCGCAGTAACGTCGCATTTGTCAACATATATGGCTCGTTTCCCTGCAGTCT